TCAAGAAACAAGAACAATCTAAAATAAACAATCTAAGCTTGCACCTAAAGGAACTAGAGAAAGAAGAACAAACAAAACCCAAAGTTAGCAGAAGGAAAGAAATCATAAAGATCAGAGCAGAAATAAATGAAATAGAAACAAAGAAAACAAGAGCAAAGATCAATAAAAGTAAAAGCTGGTTCTTTGAGAAGATAAACAAAATTGATCAACCATTAGCTAGACTCATCAAGAAAAAAACTGAAAGCATTTCCTCTAAGATCAGGAACAAGACAAGGATGTCCACTCTTGCCACTATTATTCAACATAGCTTTGGAATTCCTAGCCATGGCAATCAGAGAAGAAAAAGAAATAAAAGGAATACAAATTGGAAAAAGAAGTAAAACTGTCACTGTTTGCAAATGACATGATACTATACATAGAGAGTCCTAAAGATGCCACCAGAAAACTACTAGAGCTAATCAATGAATTTGGTAAAGTAGCAGGATACAAAATTAATGCACAGAAATTTCTTGCTTTCCTATACACTAACAATGAAAGATCAGAAAGAGAAATTAATGAAACAATCCCATTCACCACTGCAACAAAGAGAACCTAGGAATAAACCTACCTAAGGAGGTAAAAGACCTGTATGCAGAAAACTATAAGACACTGATGAAAGAAATTGAAGATGGCACAAACAGATGGAGAGATATACCATGTTCTTGCATTGGAAGAATCAATGTTGTGAAAATGACTATACTACCCAAAGCAATCTACAGGTTCAATGCAATCCCTATCAAATTACCAATGGCATTTTTTACAGAACTAGAACAAAGAAATCTTAAAATTTGTATGGAGACAGAAAAGACCCTGAATAGCCAAAGCAAAGACCCTGAATAGCCAAAGCAATCTTGAGGGAAACGGGGCTGGAGGAATCAGACTCCCTGACTTCAGACTACACTACAAAGCTATAGTAATCAAGACAATATGGTACTGGCACAAAAACAGAAATGTAGATCAATGGAACAGGATAGAAAGCCCAGAGATAAACCCACACACTTATGGTAAACTAATCTATGACAAAGGAGGCAAGGATATACAATGGAGAAAAGACAGTTTCTTTAATAAGTGGTGCTGGGAAAAATGGACAGCTACATGTATAAGGATGAAATTAGAACACTCCCTAACATCATACACAAAAATAAACTCAAAATGGATTAAAGATCTAAATGTAAGACTGGACACTACCAAACTTTTAGAGGAAAACATAGGAAGAACACTCTTTGATATAAATCACAGCAAGATCATTTTTTGACCCACCTCCTAGAGTAATGGAAATAAAAACAAAAATAAACAAATGAGACCTAATGAAACTTAAAAGCTTTTGCACAGCAAAGGAAACTGTAAATAAGGTGAAAAGACAACCCTTGGAATGGGAGAAAACATTTGCAAATGAATCAACGGACAAAGAATTAACCTCCAAAATATATAAATAGCTCATGCAGCTCAATGTTAAAAAAACAAACCCAATCAAAAAATGGGCAGGAGACCTAAATAGACATTTCTCCAAAGAAGACATACAGATGGCCAAGGGGCACATGAAAAGCTGTTCAACATCACTAATTATTAGAGAAATGCAAATCAAAACTACAGTGAGGTATCACCTCACACCAGTTAGAATGGGCATCATCAGAAAATCTACAAACAACAAATGCTGGAGAGGGTGTGGAGAAAAGGGAACTCTCCTGCACTGTTAGTGGGAATGTAAACTGACACAGCAACTATGGAGAACAGTATGGAGGTTCCTTAAAAAACTAAAAATAGAATTCCCATATGATCCAGCAATTCCATTACTGGGCATATACCCAGAGAAAAACATAATTCAAAAAGACACATGCACCCCAATGTTCATTGCAGCACTATTTACAATAGCCAGGTCATGGAAGTAACGTAAATGCCCATCGACAGGCGAATGGAAAATGACGTGGTACATATATACAATGGAATATTACTCAGCCACAAAAAGGAACGAAATTGGGTCATCTGTAGAGACGTGGATGGATCTAGAGACTGTCATATAGAGTGAAGTAAGTCAGAAAGAGAAAAACAAATATCGTATGTTAATGCACATACGTGGAATCTAGAAAAATGGTACAGAAGGAACTGGTTTGCAAGGCAGAAATAGAGACACAGATGTAGAGAACAAACATGGACACCAACGGGGGAAAGTTGGGGGGAGTGGGATGACTGGGAGATTGGGATTGACATATATAGACTAATATGTATAAAACAGATAACTAATAAGAACCTGCTGTATAAAGATAAAAAAAAAAAAAAGACTCTGGTAGGTCATAGCAATCTTTGTCCTTGCCGTTTCCGCAGACAGGCAGGAGGAGAAACAGAGTGATGGCTCCTAAAATCTGTGTATGTGTGTTTGCGTGTGTGTGTGTGTGTGTATAAGCATCCATAGCAATCTGTGCTGTAAGGAACATCTTGTTTTTTTCTCTGATTATCTGCATGACTCCAGATCTTTAAGGAGCACTAGACATCTTGCATTTGGAGGGTTAACCTCCTGCCAATACTTGATGTTTGCAACAACTTATGGGCCACATTGTGCAGAAAAGTTTTTTTTCTCCTTTCTAACGCTGGCTCAAATTACAAAGTCCCTGTTCCAGTTATCTATTTTTGTGTAACAAATTACTCCCAAACTTAGTGACTTAAAAAACGTATTTATCTTGCTCATAAATCTTACACTTGGGCATGGCTCAGCCAGATGATTGCTGCTCTGTGATGTCTGGGTTGTTCTCAGCTGCAGAAATGTGTGGTCTCACACTGGTTTCTCTCCAGCATTGTGGCCTCAGCGTAGATAAACTTACATGGCGGCTCAGGGTTCCCAGGGGGGAGTGTTCCAAGAGATCAAGGCAGAAGCTTCAGGGAGTTTTTTTCACCTAGCCACGGATATCATGGAGAAGCACTTCTGCTGCAGTCTACTGGCCACATAAGACCAGCACAGATTCAGTGTGGGAAGGGCCTAAACAAAGTCAAGAATGTCAGGAAGCAGGGATCGTTGAGGGGATCACCTTGGAGACTGGCTACCGTAGCCTCTTTCTGTTCAACTTTGAAAGGAAAACTGATTTTTTTAAAAAAAATTAATTTATTGATTTTTGCTGTGTTGGGTCTTCGTTTCTTGTGCGAGGGCTTTCTCTAGTTGTGGCAAGCGGGGGCCACTCTTCATCGCGGTGCACGGGCCTCTCACTATTGCGGCCTCTCTTGTTGCGGAGCACAGGCTCCAGACGCTCAGGCTCAGTAGTCGTGGCTCACGGGCCTAGTTGTTCCGCAGCATATGGGATCCTCCCAGACCAGGGCTCGAACCCGTGTCCCCTGCATTAGCAGGCAGATTCTCAACCACTGCGCCACCAGGGAAGCCCAAAACTGAGTTTTTAAAATGCAGATTAAATTTGCATAGGATGTAACAAAACTGTACCCAAAAGCTTCAGTGGATATTCCAACAGAAAGAAGAGATCAGGACACATGTTTTCTATGCTCTTTCCAGCCATTGTGTTGTCTTTATTAAATGGAATATTGAATTAGAGGCAAAGAGTGTTTGTATTCTGGTGTTCCATTTTATGGAATGGCAGTCATGTTATCCACCCTGGCTCTCGAAGAATCCATCTTGATTCTGTACACTCAGTTTTGCATGTTGTATCAGAGAGGGAGGAAATCCAGGATGCTGGCTTTAAAACGAGAGTAAGGCATCCAAACTACTGTGAAACCAGCAGCCATCCCATCTCAGCTCCCAACTTCACACTGAGCAGTAACAAAAGAAATAAACGGAGACTAATGATGCTTTGGTTTGGGAAATAATGCTTACATGCACAGGATGCATCCACTTAAGTCTTTTAAAAACCAATTGTTCTAATGATTTTATTGCTCCGTAACAAAATAAACCAAACCGACATTAATTCGAAGGTCATTGTGAATTGAAGTTTAACTGCATTAATGACTGATAAGATGCAAATGTGAATGCTAGGAGGAGGCTTGAGGAGGAAGGCATCACAGTATATTGCATTCTTGTAAACATTAGTACAAATACAGAGTAACAGAGATTCCTCTAGTTGATGCTAAATAGGCCCCAAGTTCCTCTGTTTTCAGAGGGATGAAGCATTAAGGATTATTTTCCACTTTATATCTGCTGGGGCATAATATTCTGCCCTAAAGAAGAATGGATTCCTATTTGGCTACTTTTCTCTTAAGATGCTGTTTTTAGTTCTCCTCCATGTTTCTGGTTCCCTGCAAGGTGGGCTCAAACTCCCTTCAAAAGGGAGTCCTACAGGATGGCAGGAGGGGAAACCGTCCCCAGACAGAGGATGTCAAATGAAGATGAAGCACTCATGGAGACTTTTTTCCACATTCACTTCCCCAGCTCCATCTCCTTGGGGAAAGGACTTCATAATTGAAAGGGCTGTATAATCATCAATAACTAAGAGCTCTTTTTTTTTTTTTTTTTTTTTTAACTAAGAGCTCTTTGCCCCACCTTACCCCACTGGGCCCACTGTTTCCTTCCATGTCTCGTATCCTGCCTCCGTCACCTTTGTCAGTAACTAGAGTAGCCGGAGGGACTGCCTGACAGCAATTTTGGGGCAGATCATGTCTTTGCAGTTGGTGCCACATCAACTTATCCTTCACATCTAACGCAGGCCACCAGGACTTATTCGGAGGCCAGAGAGACAGCTCGATCACAGTGAGGGGCTTGTGGGGAGTACTGGGGGCTAGGAAGTAGGGCTTCCTGATGCTCTGCAGAGAGACTGTTGGGGGCTTAGATGTGATGATGCTGATTGGTCGGTACTGGGGACAAAGGTCTGGAACCAGAATCACACTTGGCTACGTGGATCTGAGCCTCAACTGGGGCCACTCCACAGACTGGAGCATCCTCCAGTGGGTTAACTGACACCACATGGACAGGGAGGGAATTGAGTCCTGGGGGATGGCGGTGGTTACTCGGCTCTGCTGGCCGACTCTCTCAGCCTCACCCCCATCTTTGGGCAGCCTGGATGTGCTGTGGGATGCGCCTCCTGCCTTGTGGCTGTTCCCCCACAGTCTCAGATTCTTGAGTCTTGTCTCACTGTTTCCTGGGTGGCGGGTCAGCGCGGCAGCCCCTCTGGGTTAACACAGTGTGAGGTGAGTTTGCCGACTGCAAAAGGAGGAGGGGCCAGCAATCAGATGTTTTCTAGAACGTCGAAGGGAACCAGACCTCTCTTCTTTCCACTGAGGACTCTGATAAAGCCGTCTTGTTCTTCTTCAGAAGTCACACAGATCTGGAAAAAAGGAAGAAAAAAAGAAACGTGTCAATAGGAAAGAAGCTAGAACCCGCGGCTTGAGTCACCGCTGGTTGAAGTCAGTGGAACACCAAATTGGAAAAGGGAGACTGGTTTAGGGAAACCGAGGCTCGGTGAGAAAAATATTTGATAAGAAATTAAGCAGCATCCTGGGTCCAGGCGTTGAATGTTTTCTGAGATTCAGCTTTACGAATGAGGATCAGTAAAGCAGGATTGATGATTCCGTGTCCCCCTGAAGAGTCCCTATGAGGACAGAATGAGATAATGCTTATCACAGAGCCTAGCATGTGGCACGCAATGAGCCCTCAATATATTATTTTAAAATCCAAAATAATGGCTACCATTTAGCAGGCTCCTGTCATATGCCTGGAAGTTTATACATATAATGTCAGGAAGTCAAAGGAAGCTATTTCATTCTTGGTCACAAGAAAATAGATGCTATCATCTTGCATATTCCAGAGTAAGACCACCTATGCTGGACTTAAAAAAGGAGGTGGTTAAAATCCATTTGGGCATTTTGTCATTCACCACTAACAGGCCATTGAAGGGCGTGTAAGGGTGGCTGTGGCCAGCTGTAAATGAGAAGCAGTTCTGAAGGGCTGTCAGCGTGCTGAGTTTCTCCTGCTGAACCTGCTTCCAAGGGTGGTGAGTTTTGTCTTTGGTTGGACTGCCTAGAAACAGAGCCTGAGACAGGAATCCCTGTGCAAGTGACTTGCTGTGGGAGTGCCCTCGGGAGGTGGAACATGAGGGAAGCAGGATGGGGCAGGAGAAGGAGCTGGCAAGGGTGTGGTCTCAGCTGGAGGTGAACCTCAGCCTGATCCCACAGCGGGCGCCGTAGCGTTAACTGTGTCATAGGATTGACCCACTTTCAAGCAAGGGGTCTGGCATTTTGGACCCCACATTACTCCTTGGTCACTGGCTGCTGACCTGCGGAGTGAGAGCGTAACTCTGGTGAGGCAGCTTTTGTTCCACCAAGGGGTATTCGCTGGAGAAGGGGCAGCTATGAGTTGTTAGTCGCTGACATAGCAACTGGAAGATGGGTGCACATGCCTAGTGAAGGGGATGTAGGCAGGGCACCAACAGAAACCAATAGAGTGGGTTCTTCTTTTACACAGAATAAGGAGCTTTATGATTAAGTATTAGGATACTTAAAGAGCTTGATTTGTGACTCCTGAGGCTTGGGGCACACAATGGACTGGTATCTGATTCATGTTTCAGAAATCTACCACCTGGTGGTTAAGTGCCCCTCTTGGCTCAGTTCCATTTTAGTCCTATCTGGCTAAAGTCCTTCAGTCTAACCCACTTCCGGAAGCGCATATGCTAATAATGTCTAAGGTTTCCCCCTGCATTGCCTCCAAGCTCGTTAACATTTAAATATGCTGCCACTTATAGCAGAAGAACAGTCATTTTATTTAAAAAGATTTTTTGCCTAGCATTCTTAGACTCAGTTTTCCCCTCAAAATACCTGTGAAAAGATAGGGAGTTGGAGGTGGGGAAGAAATGTCAAAATACTGAACGCCCAGACTGACAGCCATTCCAGAAGCTGAAATTTCCATAAGACCTTTGGAGCTGAGCTCAACTGATGACAGAAGCAAGTTGTGCTGCTGGACCAAGGATAAATCTACCAGCCTAAAAGATGACGCAGGCCTTGTTGGTTGATATCAACAGTCATTACTGCCCCCTTCCCATGCAGCAGAGTCTGGACTTCTGTTCTGTTGTCTATCCTTAACCCTGCAGGACTCAGGTAAATCCTAATTGGTCCAAGTCTGTTTCTACCCTCCTTGCTAATGATTCTTAGTGGTTCCCATGGGACTCAGTTCCAGCCAATGAAACAGGATGGAATATCTGCTCGGAAACTTCTGGGAAGAGTTGCTTTCCTCTTAAAAGAGATGCACTAGGAAGAAAATCTCTTTCTTTTTCTGGCAAGGATTCCTGGAGTGGCTGCAGCCATCTGTGACCACTAGGGGAGGTGGCTAACATTTCAAGCATACCAGAACAGAGGGGTGGAGGAATCTAGATCCCTCTCCGATCATGGGATCAAGCTGCGGAATTACGAATACAAGAACTGCCCTTACATCTTATATGAGTAAAATATACCTTTTGCGGTTGACTCAATTGGAGTTTTGTGACTTGAGATATGTATTAGTTCACTTCTGCTGTCATAAATTACCAGAAATTAGTGGCTTTCAACAACACAACCTATTATATCACAGTTCTCTAAATCCTATGTCTGGTGGGCTTGGCCAGTTTTCTCTGCTCTGGGTTTCACAAGGCCAATATCAGGGAGTCAGTAGGGTCCTATTCCTTTCTTTCTCTTCTATTTCTCTAGGAGAGAATCCAATTCCAGGCTCATTTAGGTTGTTGCCGAATTCAGTTACTTGTAGTTGTAGGACTGAGGTCCCTGTTTCCTTGCTGGCTGTCAGCCAAGGGTCATTCTCAGCTTCTAGAAGCCACCTGAATTCCCTGACTTGTGGCCCCTTCCTACAGCTTCAAATCCAACAAGGGTGGGTTGAGTCCTTCTCACACTTAATCTCTTTCTGACCTGCCCTTCTGCCTCATCTCTCTTCTGCCCTCTTTTGCTGCATCTCCCTTTCTCCAGCCAGCTACATTTCACTGCTTTTAAGGGCACAAATGATTAGATTTGGCCAATGTAGACAATCCAGGCTATCTCCCTGTCACGTGGTCCATAACCTGCAATAAAATCACATCTGCAAATTTGCTTTTACATAGGAAACAAACCCAAACAAATCTGGATTTGTTTCCTATGGTGGCTATAACAAATTACCATAAATTTTGTAGATTAAAACAACACAAATTTATTATCTCACAGTCTTGGAGATCAGAGTCCCCAAATCAGGGTGTCATTAGGTCTGTGTTCCTTCCACAGGCTCCAAGAGAGAATCTGTTTCCTTACCTTCAGCTTCTAGAGGCCACCTGCATTCCTTGGCTCATGGTCCCTTCCTGCATCTTCAAAGCCAGCAGCACAGCATCTTCAAATCCCTCTCTTTCTTCCTCTCTACTTCTACTGTCACATCTCCTCTGACTAGGACCCTCCTGTCTGCCTCTTATAAGGATCCCTGTGATTACATTAGGTTTACGTGGGAACCTACTTAACTTAAAGAAAACCTGCTGTAGAGGAAAGCGGGCTGTTTGAGAAGAAAATACTACAAGGAAATAAACACTAAATTAAGATCAATGTTAGAAGTTATGAAAGCTTGAATCAAACTTCAGAAAATTAAAGTGAAGTGCGGGACTATCTTGAAACATTCTCCTAGGAAGAAGTGAAGTGATAAAGTGGGAAGCAATAAAGAGATTAAAACCATAAGGGAAATATGATAAAACAGAGATGATTCAACTGAAGCATTATTAAGTTCCTGAAGGAAGAAGCATTAAGAACAAAAGGCAAAGGACCAACTGGGGGAATCGTTGGCCACACATGATAGATCAGGTGTAAATATTTTTAAAGGATAGAAAACTTTTTCAGTAGTGTAAGAAAACAAGAAAGTACACAGATTATTCATAAAAGAAATACAAATGTGTTAAAATTTCAACCTCTCTAAGCATCCAGGAAATGAGGATTAACATGAAATATTATTCACTTATCAAAACAACAGATATCATTTTGCATGATATACAAATATGTAAGAAATAGTAATGTTCAGTTCTGGCAAGGATGTGGTAACCTGAATATTTTCATAAACAGCTGATGTGGGTATAAACTGGCACAAATGTTTGGGAGGCAATTTGGCAGTATGTATCAAGAACTGTAAAAATTGTTTATCTGTTTTCCTGTAAATTCTAAAGCATATCCTAAAGAAGTAATCAGAGTTATAAAAAACAATTTAGGTTTAGAGGTGTTCATTGCAGTTATCCACAATAGTTTTAAAAACTCTGAATATCCAATCATAGAGGAAAACTTAATACATTCTTGTACACCTACACTAGGGGTTGGAAAAATTTTTCTGTAAAGGACTAAATAGGAAACATTTGCAGGCCACGTGGTCTCCACTGCAATGACTCAACCCAGCTGTTGCGGTGTGAAAGCAGCCGCAGGCGGTGCAGGCAATACATAGATGAATGAGTGCAGCAGTGTTCTAATAAACTGTATTTCAAAAACAGGGCCAAGACTGATCCATTGGTTATAGTTTCCCAACCTCTGATCTACATGATGATATGTTATACAACTGCTAAACCATGCTTTTTGTTTTTCTTTTTTTTTTTTGCGGTACGCGGGCCTCTTACCGCTGTGGCCTCTCCCGCTGCAGAGCACAGACTCCGGATGCGCAGGCTCAGCGGCCCTGGCTCACGGGCCCAGCCGCTCCGCGGAATGTGGGATCTTCCTGGACCGGGGCACGAACTCGTGTCCCCTGCATCGGCAGGCGGACTCTCAACCACTGTGCCACCAGGGAAGCCCAAACCATGTGTTTTGATAAACATTAAGTAACTAAGTTTTAAAAAAAGTTGGGAAACTAAATATAATATGATATCAAAATAAGAATTAGAAGAAAAGTCTGGTGGGAAATAACATGAAAGTAATTATGTCGATAGTTGCTTGATGGCTGAATTACCTGTGATCTTTACTTTCTTCTTTGTAATTTTTGAGGGTATTTTCCAAATTTTCTCCACAATAAAAGCATTTTAGTTTTATTAATCTAAAAATGATTTATCCATTTTTCTTTAAAGCTTTTATAGAACACAAGAATCAAAATAGTTCTCTAAGGATGACAGAACTATGGATGAATTAAAACATAGTTTTATGGTGTTTAAGTTGATTTAATAAGGATAGTTTTTAAATTTCAAAAATGAAGAAAACATACTCGTGTCAATGCAAACTCTAGGTGTGTTCACAACAAAAAGATAACTTAATTCTATCTGCAGCAAAAGTTCTGTGAAAAAGTAATGTAATAATTGTGAGACAAATTAACCCCAGAGGCAGAAATTTCATCAAAGAGACGCATTACATTTGTTTTCAGGATTTAATTTCCTCTACTTCCCTGCTAATGACCATTTGTCTCTTTATATTTTTAGAGTTTAAATATCATGCTATTTTCTGATGTTTACTAGGTAATTTTAGGTGGTACTGGCCACTGTAGATGGATGTCCCAGTTAGGCTTTTCTCTGAATGATGACGGCAGCAAGGGTAATGACCCCGTTCAGCACCGACGGTGGTCAGGCACTGTGCTGACGCTTTACACAGGTGATACATGTAACTTTCACCTCCATGTCAAGAGACAGATGCTACTATGCCAATTTTACAGATGAGAACATTGACTTTCAGAGATGACTTTGTCAAAATCACACAGGATACAGATCCATTTCTGTATGATACTGGAATCTGTGTTTTGCTACTACATTAGACTCCCCTCAATCAACAAGCATGTTTTGAACTTTTACACGTAAAATAATTTGAGACACTAAAGTGGAGACAAATTTAAAATTTCTTCTCAATAATAGATTTTTTAAATGGAATTTTCTTTCAGGGGGCTGATATTTTCCAAAAATTGGTACCCACATTGATGACAAAGATCGAAAATAGAGATTTGTATAGGAGTAAAGAGATCTCAGTGCTTTTTGTTGACCCATATGTAATTGGAAATAAAAATGCCTTTAGGGCTTCCCTGGTGGCGCAGTGGTTGAGAGTCCGCCTGCCGATGCAGGGGACATGGGTTTGTGCCCCGGTCCGGGAAACTCCCACATGCCGCGGAGCGGCTGGGCCTGTGAACCATGTCCGCTGAGCCTGCGCATCTGGAGCCTGTGCTCCACAACGGGAGACGCCACAACAGTGAGAGGCCTGAGTACCACAAAAAAATAAAAAAAATAATGCCTTCAGTTGTCAAAGAACTACTATAGGGCTTAAAAGTGAAAAATGGAAATGAAGGTCATTCTCAAATCTTAGCTTTGATCGGAGCATCTGGGACGTCTGTAAAAAAAGGCTGATTCCCTGCCTTTGCCCTGAAAGTTTCTGCTTCAGCAGGTGTGGGATGGAGTTAGAAATCTGCATTTTCAGGGACTTCCCTGGTGGCACAGTGGTTAAGAATCCGCCTGCCAATGTAGGGGACACGGGTTCAAGCCCTGAACTGGGAGGGTCCCACATGCCGTGGAGCAACTAAGCCTGTGCACCACTACTTCTGAGCCTGCGCTTTAGGGCCTGCGAGCCACAACTACTGAGCCCGCGGGCTGCAACTACTGAAGCCCGTGCGCCTAGAGCCTGTGCTCCACAACAAGAGAAGCCACTGCAATGAGAAGTCCACACACCGCAACGAAGAGTAGCCCCTGCTCGCCGCAACTAGAGAAAGCCTGCGCGCAGTAACGAAGACCCAACACAGCCAAAAATAAAATGAATTTAAAAAAAAAAAAAGAAATCTGCATTTTCAGCAAGCTCCCAGGTGATTCTGATTCACATGGTGCAAAGACCATACCTTAGAAATACCAGGCTAGACAAATATCAGGGTTATAGCCCTTTCCTAAACAATTATGGGTAGATTCATGCGGTTCCAGGTTCAGGCCAAAATGCTGTGTTGTGTCTCGAGCGTGTCTAATTAAAGATGGTGGGTTGTTTGTCTCACCCCCACCCCGGCAGGTTGTCAGTTCAACCATGAGAGTGGAGAATGTGAGCTCATTCCCAGAAAAATTTTTTTTCGGGGGGAATACGGCCAAGGGATTGGTAGAAGTCTTTGAGCAGCTGTTCTGCTTCTGGAAATTGATCAACTTAAGCAAATTTTAACTTGCCTTCTGTTTTCACTGATTTGTATTTTAATAACGTAAAACAATGTTTAATCTCAAATGGGGAAGCAAAAGATTATTCTGAGAAAAAAAATCAAACAAGCTAGCAAAATTATGTAATAATGCTTTGCCAATAAAGGTGAACATCCTTCCCGAATGTATTTCATTCAAAAGACTTTCCAGATTTTGTAACAGGAAGGATACAGTGGGTAATCCTGGAGAAGTTTGAAACACTGGTGTGGAATCCAGCTAGGAAATGTCCCATTTTCTTTGTGGGATGTTTATGGCATTAGAGATGGGGTCTCAGTCTGATAAGGGTGATTCCATTGCCTGGAATCAAGAATGACTCAGTAGGGCTTCTGTATGAGGAAGAATTTGTTTCCAAGGGCCCTTCTGGTCCTAGGACACTTGCCCTGAGGACACTTGCTTCCTGGGGAACCAAACTATGCAAAAGGCACTTTACATTCTGTTTGTTCCACATTGTCCAGGGCACATGGCTCAGTGGAAGGCACTGACTTGAAGCTTGCAGACCTATCTTTAAGTTCCAGCCTGGCCACTTACCAAGTTTTTGCCCCTTGAGCAAGGTACCTGACCTCTATGAACCTTTGTTTCCTCATTTATAGGGCATGTATAGAACTTCAAAAAAAGTAGGTATATAAGCTCTATAAATAATATATAATCTATATGTTTGGTTCCCAGGGAAGGCAAGTGAGCTTCCTAACACTTTGGTTTTGCATGTTTAGATCCTCCTACACTAATATCATTGGACTAAGTATCTTCTCTCAAAGTGAATACTTCGCTTGTGACTCCACTCATTCAGACTTACATGTACTGCTATTTGTCAAAGTGAGTTACTCTGGGGCTTCCCTGGTGGCGCAGTGGTTGAGAGTCCGCCTGCTGATGCAGGGGACGCGGGTTCGTGCCCCGGTCTGGGAAGATCCCACATGCCGCGGAGCGGCTGGGCCCGTGAGCCATGGCCGCTGAGCCTGCGCGTCCGGAGCCTGTGCTCCGCAACGGGAGAGGCTACAACGGTGAGAGGCCCGCGTGCCGCAAAAAAAAAAAAAAAAAGAGTTACTCCGTTTTGGTCATACTTGGTATGTGTTTGTGTGCTTTACTCACCTGATTCTCTTTCAGTGTTATCTGCCCCTGTTCCTTACACCCAATGAAGGTTCTAACACATTTAAAAATCTTCTCATTTTGTTGTACTCTCTGAACAAAGTTGGCTGGAAAGAAGCCAATCCTGTCTTGAATTTTCCCCTGAAAGGAAAAAGGAGGCATGCATCCACAATTGTAGCATTCATTGTGATTATATTTACCAAATGACTTTTCTTCAAGAAAAAGCAATACTTACTTTCCACCAGTCTTCATTGGAGTCCTCTAGGAGAGTAATCATGTCTCCTGGCCTAAAATGAAGAATGAATGAATGAGTTGGGTGGGGAAGTAGAGGGGGTGAAAGAGAAAAAGATGGTCCTTTAAAGTCAGAAGTGGTAGCTTTTCACTTACACAAATAATCCTACAATAAATAGGACTAAAATAAACATGACTTTTACCTGTTCTTCCCACCCATGAAAGTAGCTTTGTTAGATACTGAAAGCAAGTGTAATTTCTGTGCTGTATTTTAAAAATATTCTTTAGCCTTATTTTTATATTATACATAGATGATCATCTTTGCATTGAAAAAAACTCTAAAATTTGGAAGTCTAAAATATGAAAACTGGAGTTTCTTCATATTCTGCCCCATAATCCTCCTCCCATTGCCCAGAGGTGACCACTGTGAGTGGTTTCCTGTGCCTCCTTCTGGACCCTTTTTCATGCACTGACATTTATATAGAGATATAGATGTATTTGGCTGTTTCTTTTGTTTACTAATGACATCTGGAATGAGACATTATCTTTATTATCAGCTATGTCTTCTCAGTACCTTCTTGAAACCATTTTTACTTAGTTCCACTTCCCTTGTCTGCCACCTTTTATGTAGGTATAATCTGGAATTTTGTTTTAGACTTGTGTGTGTGTGTCTGTTATATCCTTCATCAAGAATTACTTGGTTTAACTGAAGAATTACATAATGTTTTTGCTCTTGGAATTATTGTAGATATGGTGATTATTTGCCACTTCTCATTGGATTTTCACATCCACGTATGTGTGTGTGTGTGTATGTGTCTTTTCATCCCTTCTTCTCTGCACCTAATGACACTTTTACAATCTGAAGATTGTACTCTTTTTCAACTTGGGAAAATCTTGTCTATTTTTTTCACTGTATTCTCCCATTCATTTTTCTCTCTTCTTTCTTCCTGGAATTTCTATGCAACACATGTTGGACCTGCTGGATCAATCATCTATATCTTTTGTCTTTCTTACACATTTTCTGTCTTAAAAAAAGACTCTGGGACTTCCCTGGTGGTCCAGTGGTAAAGAATCTGCCACAACTAGAGAGAAGCCCGCACGCCGCAATGAAGAGCTTGTGTGCCGCAAGGAAAGATCCCGGATGCCGCAACTAAGACCCGATGCAGCCAAAAAACACAACAATAACAGCGCTTACCCGCCCCAAAAGAACAACTCTGTTCTAAAATTTTTCTCAATTTAATCTTCCTAATTGCTTAATGGGCTTGTCTCTTCTAATATTTATTATAATACTGAGAATTTAAAAAAAATTGAATTTCTAAGCATTCTGTATTATTTTCTGAAAGTTTCCTTTTAACATTTGTCACTTTATGTTATGGATGGAATAGTATGATGGATCTTTCTGAGGATATTATTATATATTTAGAACAATATTTCTCCCCTTTATTGAATGATTTGTTTCCACTAGGATTAGTTAGCCTGTTCTTTATCATACTACTTTACTTCTCCTTCCTATCAAGGTATTTTCTCCAACACCTGTTTCTCGGCTGTCTCTTTATATTCATGACTGAAATCAGAGGGTGTGAATCGCTGGGCAAGTTTCTCTGCTATCACATACATCTGTATCTGCAATGTATGTGGGTCAATTTCAGGCTCTGCTTAAGAGAGCAGGGTGTGTCAGTCGACGCATCTCATCTTTGGATGCTTGAGAGTATAGCAGACAAGCAGTCTGGAGCCTCCTACCACCACCCCAATGGCTAAAACAAGGGTGGCTTTCTTAACCCCAGGGAGGGAGAAGGTTAGATTATTTTCCTCCAAGTAGAGCTATCTTTTCCTTCCCTCCTGCTCTCTAGAAGCTCTGGAGGTCCAGAATTATCTCAACACAATTCTTTTTCTTTCTCAGTCTTTCATGCCCACACAGGAGCCCTCCTTGGGCAAGGGTTCCCTTTCTTTAGAGTACAGGTAATGGTTTAATTCTAGAGTCAAACACCATTGCTGCCTATTTCTCATTCTAAGTAGTAACACGGTGTTATGAACACTGTTGGGACTCTGTATCAGTTATATATTGCTATGGTAATGCTGTGTAACAAACAGCCCCCAAACCTCAAAGACTCACTCACATTCTTGGGTGTTGGCTGCTGGCTGGGATGACTGGGGTGATTTTGCCTTATTCCATGTTTCTCATACCCCAGAAGGTCAGTTGGGACTTTCATGGCATTGCCAGGGCAGCAAATGGAAATGTGAAAAACACATAAGACCTCTATGGCCTAGGCTCAGAGCTGACACATTTTCATTTCTGCCTCATTTTATTGGGCAAAGAAACTCTGCAGTGAGAGGAACTGTAAAGTCTCATGGCAAAGGGTATGGATACAGGGTTGGTGAAGAATTGGGGCCATTAATACAATTCAGTCACCAAGACACCATCATGCTCTTTAATGAACCTGTTGTGAATTCAGTGTCTCTTTTGTGCTCTTACATTTAAACTTGTTTTTTTCCTGAGCATCCTTTGGTCTCTGGTCATCTGCCTTGTTCTCTATTTGCTGTAGTCTCCCAGGAAACTCCTAAGATTTTTTGGTCTCTGATAGTGTTATTTCTTATTTTCTAGTACTATGATGGATGTATTCTTTAAAAAATATATTTTCTGACATTTTAAGGGATTGGAACAAGAAGGGAAGTAGATTTGTGTGCTCCTTTTGCTATTCTGGTTCAATCTCCTCTGCTGTCATTTTCAATTTTCAGTTAATATCTATCTTCTTAGGGGATTCCAAATATAACAGGCTTGTTGCACCCGAAGCATTAAACACAACGGGCATTTTGGTATTTCAACAGTCACAGTATCATGCTGATGCCACAGAAAGTGAGAAGGCTGAAAATCACTCTTTTCTCAGGTGAGGGATTTAATTAAGCAGCAAGGATAAAAGTCAATGTAGAAAAGTCCTTCTAGCTCCAGCAGATTTTATTTAGCCTAGTAACCTAAGAAACCATATGTTAAACTACATTGACTTTGCTGATGGTTCAGTAGAAATTGTAAGTAGGGAATCAAGGTTGGAAGAGGCGACTTTTCCTAAGGGTGTAAAACAGTGCTGCCTGAATCCAGCTTCTATTTTTATGGTCTAGAGAGTCAGTCTTCACCGTGCCCAGATGTGGACAGTCCCTGAGCCCATGACCTATGTTAACTAAACCACACATTAGGATAAGGCACTCATTGGAATACAAGCTATAATTTTATGAGAAAGACTAGACATCCTGATAGTGTGATGGAGTTTCTGTCTTTTCCTATAAAAGAGCACTGCCAGCATCTAAAATTCCTTGGTAAGTGAGGAGAATTACATTCATCCCTTTATCATTTGTTGTTTTGTTTACCCACTCATTCAACAGATATTACAGAACACTGACTCTGAAAGAGTGATTTTACTAGGCACTGGGTATACTTTGGTGAGTAAAGTCCTCACTGGAGCTAATATTCTAGTGAGAATGATAGATAACAAGCAAATGCATAATTAAACTTTTAATAAATATAGAATGTGTATATATAACTAATAAATATATATGAAGGAAATAAACAGGATGCAGTCATAAAGAATAAGAGTGGACCCCTAATGATATTATTTAAATACTCTAGTCATCAGGCAGAGACAGCTAATGTCTCTTTTTCAGTTTGGGGAGGATCTTGCTCTAGGGTGGCACTTGAATCCAAGACAACAACTCTCTAACATCTGGGCAAGCACACATATGGCCTGTGGGATTTCTACTGCCCTCTTGCCTCTGCCTGGCATTTTTCTCTTCTCTTCCCAGCATTCTTCCCCACTGAGGCTGCTTTAGATCCTTTCCCACACTGAGCTCCAGGCAGTTGATCTGAGTAGGCATGCAAGATAAAATCACTCTGTGTAATATAAGATTTTTAATTTATTTTTAAAAATATGCCTTGACCAGTTTTGAAACTCTGGCAAGAGATTGGTCAGTTCCTCCTTAAACATCTGATTAAATCAACACCCACACCACTTCCCTCATGAGGCTGGGATGCTCCGGGGCACTATGTACCAGCCCCATCCCTAAATGCCCCGGGGCCAGGTACCAGACAGCTAGGGACAGCCTCTGCACCCTGGAGCCTGTGAAGTTATTCAAATTAGCTAACCCACAGGAAGCCTGGGAAACCTCACTAATCCCAGCTGCTGACCATACATAAGCTGCCCCTACAGCTCCAGCTGCTGTTACCCTGACTCCCTGGTCGGCCAGTGTGGCCCTGTGTGGCAGCCCTTTACTCTCAACTGTGAGTTCTCTTCTAACCTGTTCTCAACTTAGTTCTCTTCTCCTACCTGTGGTGTCAGAGTGCCATGTCCTGCCATCAAAGAACTAAGTCAACACTCTGCCTACATGCTGTACATAGGAAGAGCCTTGCCATCGATCCTGGAGGAATGGAGGCCTAATGCTTAAAATTCTCCTTCCCTTGGTTGGTCCTAGGATGGACACTGCCAGCGCGTGACTCTCTGCCTCTAGCTGTTTCATGCCTCTGTGGCTGACCAGGCCCCTTTCCATGAAACAGTTCTTTCTTATTTCACATTATCACACTCCAGGCATGTTAGAAGAAAGTCCTGCTCTGGTCTAACAGCTATTTTCTCTCTTCCAGGTGGCTTTATGTTCCTGATCCATTATATATCGATTTTATAATTTAACTCTATATTTCCAAATCTTGGAGAGGAACTCATCAGGCTCCCAAATACTGAAAAAAGCGTACTTTTGCTTAATTCAATCAATCAGAGCATCCTAAGTTCAGGTAAAAATTCTGCTGTATTGTAACCCAGAATTTTATACATTGACAAAAAGTACAATGCTCTTCAGACACAACACAAGCATGAGCCTCCTACTTGGAGCAGACAGATCAGAACACTGCAGCTGGCCTTTTCGTTTGTTCAGTAAAATTGGTCTTAAACCCAGAGGAAAATTTTCAGGTTGGTTATGTCTTGATTCATGGAACATCTTGAAATGAAGAGGGAACTGTGGGCTATCAATAGGAGCAGGAATAAAATAACAAAGCTAACTACAGAATCATGGCTTCGTG